AGACATAACTTGAAGTAGAGTGGCTTCTGAGGAACACAGAACTTGCGGGACGGAAGAGATCCACAGGGGTGGAGCAAAGGCTCTCTGTTGCATTACTTCAAGTTGGTAGTTGGTAATACCGGTGAAGAAGGGGGGTGGGTGTAAAGGCCAAAACTGGGCACCTACTCTCTCCCACTCTCTTTGTCTTGCTTTGGTTTCATCCCTTCCACCTCAAGATGGCGCAAGACCCTCCCACAGTGACTCTCTCCTTCTGCCTGCCATATACACTGGAAACACGTCTACTGGGCTTCCAGTGAGGGACCTGGGTCCCTCTACTTTACTAGCTTATCTCCTTACGATTTCATTGACCCACTGACTCTTCCACAGGGCGAAGCTGGCCAATGTCTTTCCTGACTCACCATTAACAGCAGCCAAGCTGTTAATGTGGACGTTCGCAGGGGCCAAGTTCTGTGTGAAGCCAACTTGCGCAACTGAACCCCCCAGCAGCCCTGTGTGGCGGGCAGTGTTATGACCCCCTTCCACACCTGAAGAGACAAGGTTCAGAAAAGCTAAGAGACAGGGAAGGCTTGAACCCGGAGCTGTCACCAAAGCCTACATCCCACTGCTTACCAAGAACACAAATGTGTCTGACTCCAAACCCTCCAAGGTAGTTCTCGCTGGCGGTCGCCTGTAGGTCATCCCAGACTTGAGAGGCTGTGTGTCGTGTGGAAGGTGGTAAGCAGGACTCCAGTGTTACGTGGTCACCCACCTCCTGACCCCCAGACCTCTCAGGATGGAAACCCCCAACCAGATGGCCAACGGGGTAGCTTGCTCCGTATCAGGTACAAAGAAGCCTACAAGACGCACCCCCTAAGATGACTTCCCTCAGCCAACAGCTATAACCCTTTGCTTCTCCTTTCCCCGACACTTATCACTGCAGTAAGGAGAACCAAAATGTACTATGATCTTACACTGTACTATCTATTTGTTGTTGATGAAACGAGAAAACAAAAATCCCAAACTGTTGTTAAACTTACCCGCTCGCTGTTTTTCACAGGGCAGGTCTGCTGAGGGTGCGGCCAGCAAGGGTGGACACACACGCCAACGTGGGCAGGTGCCCCAGGATGCCAACCCCGTGCCCAGGTGACCCACCACCACGGTCACCTGCAGAGGTCTGCGGTCTCGGTTCTTGGAAACCAGGCCCAGCAATGGCCCGTGTTTCGGAAATAAAATCCAGGAAGAGTGGAAAGTCAAATGTCAGGCAGAAGCATGGAGGCACGTCCTCAGGGAGGTACATGGCTCATGAACTGTGAACCGCTGGCATGAAAAACGGAAAGAACAAGGCTTTGTCTTGAGGTGCAACAGGCAGTAGGCAGACCGGGGAGAAGGGGGCCAGAGGCCAGATAAATTTCAAAGACCAGCATGAGGAGCCCTGAACCATCCTGTCCATATTTTTGGCTACAGAGACGAAGCAGTGGAGAAAGGTCACAGTCTCTAAGATTCATGGTGGGGCCATTCTACATACCCGGCAAACAATGTGTGTGCAACAGCTCTTCAACAGAACCTTCCCGGATGTCTGAAAACAGGAAAGTTACCCAATTTCTAGATTCTCTAGAGAGTAGAGCCGCTGGTCGTTCTCAAAGTCAGGAAGAGATTTATCCCAAAGAAGAGTCAAGGTGATTTATTTCCATCATAAAAAAGTACTTTGAAAGATGCCTTTGTTTTACCAAAATACAGATACAACCGGCAAAGTTATCTGCGACAGCTGTGAAAACATTCAGTTGCCAGTGAAGGTATTTTTCTCTTTTCCACCACAGCTGTTCAGTCCAGAGCAGGGCGTGTTTTCTTCTTCCACTAACCTTCCAAAATCAAAAATTCTCAGCTCTGAATTGGGAGTCCCTGAATTTTCTTGCATAGGCTGCCCCCATGTGGTGACCACTCAAAAGGCACAGAGGTTTTGAGCTTAGCTGGGCGACCACGTTTCTGAGCTGCCTTCACAGGAGAAAGAGCTGCATGTATTAGACCCACCTGCAACTCAGGTATCACTTCTCGGTCGAGACACTTGCCTCCCTGGGGCAGGACTGCAACTTCTCACTTCTGTTCTCATGGGGCAACATAAGGAACGTGTATTTTTTGATGTCGTTCTGCAGTTACTTTACTGTCCTTAACACACTTTTAATTTAACTTCACTTTGCTTGAAATGTGTAAAAATTCATGGCCATTTTTTTGAAATTAAAAACCTTATTAACTGTTCCAGCCATGAAAATGTAAACAGATGATAGAATGCACCTGGACACCCAGCCCACTGCCCAGAAAAAAGGCACGGCCAACACCAGTGAGTCTCCTTTCCACCTACATCCACATCCTTGTCCTGGTAAATGGTTTCCTGATTGGGTTCAAGGACCAGACATTTCTTTATCTTGTTAGTTTATATATGTAGCCCTAAAGCATAGATATATATGGCACTGTTTTTAGACTTTAAATAAATGGTGTCATATGCAATGAACCCTTTTGCAAATGCTTTTTTTCAGCAGGTGCTATATTAAAAAATTCTTTCACATTGATATTTGCAGCTCAAGATCTCTTCAATATTGTCTTGTTTTTGCCCTTCTACCTCTGTGTAAATTTTATTTTATTACTATTTAAAGATTTTATTTATTTTTTTGACCGAAAGAGAGAGAGGAACACAAGCAGGGGGAGTGGGGGAGGGAGAAGCAGGCTCCCTGCTGAGCGGGAAGCCCAATGCAGGGCTCAATCCCAAAGTCTTGGGGTCATGACCTGAGCTAAAGGCAGATGCTTAACTGAGCTACCCAGGCACCCCCTCTGTTAAATTTTAGAATCAGCTTGTCAAACTCACCAAAAACAATAATAAGTCAGGACTCTGACTCAAATTTATAGATTAATTTGGGCAGAATCAGTATCTTTAAGATATTGAGTTCTCCTTTTTTTTTTCTTTCACAAGGCCAAATCTCTCTATTACAAAGCCACCAACATGCTACCATGTCCGCTTCTCTGAATATTGAGTCCTCTTGTTTTTTTTTTTTTTTTAAGATTTTTTTTTTTTATTTATTTGACAGAGAAAACAAGCAGAAAGGCAGGCAGAGAGAGAGGGGAAAGCAGGATCCCTGCTGAGCAGAGAGCCCGACGCAGGGCTCGATCCCAGGACCCTGAGACCATGACCTGAGCTGAAGGCAGAGGCTTAACCCACTGAGCCACCCAGGCGCCCCAATATTGAGTCCTCTTATCCATGAACATGGTATCTCTATTTTGGAGTCTTCTTAATGACCTTCATCAAAATTATATAATTTCTTTCAAAAGATCAGAAATAACTTCTGTTAAATATATCCTAAGTACCTTATATTCTCATTGCTATTATAAACTCTAATTTAAGAATCAATTTTAAAAAACTGATAAAAAAATTATAGGAAGAGTAAATGAAACAAGATGGGATTGGGAGGGAGACAAACCATAAGTGACTCTTAATCTCACAAAACAAACTGAGGGTTGATGGGGGGAGGAGGGTTGGGAGAGGGGGGGTGGGATTATGGACATTGGGGAGGGTATGTGCTATGGTGAGTGCTGTGAAGTGTGTAAACCTGGCGATTCACAGACCTGTACCCCTGGGGATAAAAATATATTATATGTTTATAAAAAATAAAATTAAAAAAAAAAATTACAGGGATCCCAGGAGGCACAGCTGGTTAAACTCAAGTCTATTTCCATGTTGTGAGATCGAGCCCTGAGTCAGGCTCTGTAACTCAGAGCAGAATCTGTTTAAAACAGGATTTTCTTTCCTACATCCTATACTACTCACGTGCTTGCATTCTCTCTCTCTCAAATAAATAAATCTTTGAAAAAAAATTACTCTTTTAACTATGGGTGTAGTGTTTAGAAATGCATATATCCAAGAACCCGAGTGAACTCGTATTCATTCTCATATTTTTTTAAGATTCTTTTGAGTTTTTTATGTAGGTAAAGCTATCATCTAGGATTGATGACAGTGTGGTGTCTTCCTTTCCAAACATTATAAATTCTCCCTTTCTCACATTACAGCACTGTCTAGTAATTCCCATACAGAGCTGATTAGGACTACTGATAACAGGCACCCTTATATCTTTCCAAATTTTAAAAGAAATGTTTCTAATATTTCATTATTTAATGAGATACTTGCTCTAACTTTTTATAGATATTTACTGGGTTAAGGAATTCCTTTAATTTCCTAGATAAGGTTTTTTAGGGAAAAAATCATAAAGGATTTTATCAAATGACTTCTGTATCTATGATAGTGACAGCATAGTTTTTTATCTGACAATGTGGTGAACTATGTCAGTAAATCTTAATGGATTTTTCTGATATTAAACCACACTGGCAATCCTATGATAACCCCAACCTGGTGCTGGATTTGGTTGGAATGAGCCCGTAATTGTCCTTGAGCATCCTGTCCTCTGGTTTGGGCACTCACAAAATGGGTTAGAAAGTGTTCTTTTCCATTCTTTGGAGGAAAGATTATGACGTGTTCTGATGGTGGTAGAACTCCTTTAGTTTGCATGTCTGGTGGGTAGACTGATCCAATGTCTTAAATATATGTCAGTCTAATCAATTGTACTTAAATCCATTTTGTAAGTTACATTTAGAAGTTTTCATTTCATACAGATTTTCAAATTTACCAGTTTACTAAAATTGTTCATAGCCTCTTTTTTTTTAAAATAATTTTTGTTCTGCAGTTATGTCCCTTTGTTCATTCCTAACACTGCTGGTGTTCTCTTTTTGTTTTGATTATTTTGGCTAGTGGTGTTTCCATTTTATTAGAATCTTCCAAGAACCGACTTTTGGCTTAGTTGATCATCTCTGACATAAACTTGCTATTTCATTAATATCTGCTCTTTACTGTTTCCATCCTTTGAGATTTTCTGCTGTTCTTCCTCTCACTTATGCTCAATGCTTAGCCTATACATTTCTAGTCCTTTTCCTTTTCTAATATAAGCACTTAAAACTCTATTTCCCACATGAAAGACGCTTACCTTGCTTTGAAGCTGAGGCGTGTTCCACTGGGAGCTCATGGTCATGGACCCTCTTCTTTGAAACAGGCATTGCAGGGCAGCTTCCAAAGACCCATGGGCTCCTATTACCAAGATCTTCTTTCCATCTAAGTTGACACCTATCCACCAAATGGAAATTCAGTATCATGATCAAAATTTCAGAGCCTTCCTCCCCTGCAGCTTTAGCGTAAGGACAAAGAACATTTTAAAACTTGGCCCTCTGAGCCAAGTTAGAGCCCACCATGGCTACCATGACTTAACTCTTTCTTTGTGAATGTTATGGCTGAGTGACTGAGAATCATCATCCCGATCATTCACATGATGGAAAAACAGCATCTCAGCTTAATGGCTAATGTTGTAAAGGTATATATGAAAAGCTAATCTTCTAATGGAACTCTGGTATATATTTTGGGAGGAATTTTTTCACTGAAGTACAGTTGACACGTAATGTTACATTAGTTTCAGGCGTGCAATGCGGCAATTCAATGAGACTGTATGTCACGCTATGCTCACCATAAGCAGAGCTGCCATCTGTCACCATATGCTATTCCAATACCACGACTATATTCCCTATGCTGTACCTTTAATTCCTGTGACTTACTCATTCCATAACTAGAAACCTATATCTCCTACTCCCTTCTCACCCACGCTGCCTACCAACACCCCCATGGCAACCACCAGTTTGTTCTCTATGTTTACAGGTCTATTTCTGTTTTTTTGTTTTGTTTTGTTTTTTAGATACCACATATAAATGAAATCATATGACATTTGTCTTTCTCTGACTTACTTCACTTAGCATGATACCTTCTAGATCCATCCATGCTGCCACAAATGGCAAAACCTCACTCATTTTTTACAGCTGAGTAAGATTCCATATTGTTTATGGACACATCTTCTCTATCCATTCATCTATCTGTAGATTGCTTCCATACCTTGACTGCTGTAAATAATGCTGCAGTAAACACAGGGGAGCATATAGCTTCGGGAATTAGTGTTTTCATTTTCTTTGGGTAAATACCCAGGTAGTGGAATTACTGGATCACATGGTAGTTCTATGTTTGATTTTTTGAGGAACCTCCATACTGTTTTCCAGAGTGACTGCACCAGTTTGCAGTTTCCCACCAACAGGGCACGAGGGCTCCTTTTTCCCCACATCCTCCCCAACACTTGTTATTTCTTTTATTTTTTATTCTAGCCATTCTGACTGGTGTGAGGTGATATCTCATTATGGTTTAATTTGCATTTCCCCGATGATCGGTGGTATTGAGCACTTTTTCATGTACCTGTAGGCCATATATATGCCTTCTTTGGGAAAATGTCTATTCAGACATTTCTAATATTTTAATCAGATTATTATTATTATTATTATTGGGTACTGACTTGTATAAGTTCTTTATATATTTGAGATATTAAATACTTTGCAATTTTTGCTTGATGGTTCTACGTTTGGGTGTGCAGGAGCAACATCTGCTTCTCTTTTACTAAGGTGGAGCAGAAAAAATTTAGTTACTTAAATTTTTTTTTTTAAAGATTTTATTTATTTAGTTGACAGAGATCACAAGTAGGCAGAGAGGCAGGCAGAGAGAGAGGGGGAAGCAGGTTCCCTGCCGAGCAGAGAGCCTGACTCGGGGCTCGATCCTATGACCCTGGGATCATGACCTGAGCCGAAGGCAGAGGCTTAACCCACTGAGCCACCCAGGTGCCCCTAGTTACTTAAATTTTTATATACTCAGCTAGAAAGCCTTTAAAATATATGAAACTCATTAGTCTGATAACCAAGAAAAAGAAATTATTCATTTCTATGTCAATGACATAAAAGAGCAAGGTCAAGGGGCAAACAATGGAAATTAAATACTGATTATAGAAAGAGTTACTGCTCACTGATAAATCCCAATCGAGGTTCCCATACCCTGAACTCTATCTGACAGCCTCCTCATTTAAATCTTACACATAAGTTTTATTTAAGTTTACGTGTTAACAGATTTGAGAAGTTGAAGCTTGGAACATTTTCCGTTGTGGTTATTTTGAGTGTTTCCTGAGAGAAGCTGAGTCTTTGTTCACAACAGGTCATTCAGCTTACCAGTTTCTTTTTAAAACTGTAATAGAGGTAACCTTGTTAGAAAAGTCTGTCAGAGTCATTTGTATCTCCTCGAAGATAAGCAAAAGAGCGGACATTGAATATTACTTCCATGCTTCAATTAGACTCTTCCAGAAAGAAATCCTTATTAAAAAATCAGTAAGTCCCAAAAAAGAGAAAATCACAGCATTTCTAAAGCAGCAATCCTACCTGACTTTTCAAGAAGTTCAATTACAGCTCTGGCCACAGGTGAGACGTAACATTCATGGGCATCCCCACGGACCAGCCTCCCCAGGTTGATGTCTGTTACTCTGAATTTGACAAAAAGGAAAGTTGTAAGCCAAAACATGGTCGAAGCTCACTCATCTGTAACTCACATGTATTTTTTTTTTTTAACACACTCTTCTTTTTTTTTTTTCCTTCAAAGATGTTATTTATTTATTTGACAGAGACAGAGATCACAAGTAGGCAGAGAGACAGGCAGAGAGAGAAGGAGAAGCAGGCTCCCCGCTGAGCAGAGAGCCCAATGCGGGGTTTGATCCCAGGACCCTGAGATCATGACCTGAGCTGAAGGCAGAGGCTTAACCCACTGAGCCACCCGGGTGCCCCTAACTCACATGTATTAATCCCAAACGATATCCACATCAACTCTGGATAGACAGAATATATTAAGTCATTAAATATAGAGAATGGGCAAGAAAAAAGGCCACTAGCTTTTTAGAGCAGTCACTTGGGAAACTCTGAAGTGGCTCCTGTGGGTTGGGCCAACCTTGGGAATTCTGGTTCTGCCTGGAGAGCAGGATGAGCACAAGACCATGCAAGGCCTCGGTGTGCACAAGCACAGGGAGCTCTGCTTGGTGTGCTCCATGGAATGGTGTCCCTGAAGTGTGCAACCCCACTGTCGTGCAGCCGAGCCTGCTTTTTCCTTGAGGGAATTTATATCTCAATAAGTATCAAAATCCAGGACCAATCCTAGAAATCTGGGGTGACCTAGCAAGACGTGGGATTCACGAGTCTGATCCCCATTTAATATCAGTACTTACCTCCTTGGGAAATCAAGAAATAAAATCTGAGTGACCACGTACTTTGAATGACTTCTGCGCTCTTCCTCCTTCAAATCCAGGACCCAATGGTCCCTAACTATCTAGTGAAACCAATGGGCTCCATACAAGTCCGTAATAAAATGGAAACACAGAAAAATGTTCATAGTTCTCTCTTTTCACAGAAGATTTGAAATTACACTTTGATATCTGCAGGTTCTGGATGTTTTCTCACTGAACAAGGCTTCTTCTCCCTTCTAGTTAGTCTAGTACAGAACCAGAGATTTTCATGACAACTTTTCAACCTGTGTTTGTGTCTACCCTGGGTCTAAGCACCCAGAGAGGTTTGAGAATGGAAGGAGCCTGGGTGTGTCCACCAGGCGGCAGCCTTTCAATCCAGCTCCCGTGAGGCATACTGGATGGGAGTCTGATTTTTAAATTTGCTTACAACCTTTGCTTACAATGCTAAATACACGATGTTCATTTGCCGCAGTACAAAACACACTTCCTATTTCCATGCAGGAAAATGAGGTTTTTCCCTCCCCCGGAGAAGTCCCGATTGCCCACATGAATGGGCAGTACTCCTCGTCTCATGAGGTGGATGTCACGCCAGGACATGAGTCAAAGGCAAATATTAGTGCACCAGATATTTGTAGTTTTTTCCTCTAATTTCAAATAAAACCTTGTGTTATGAATGAAAGTGCTTGTTTTGCTTTTCTCAACTGGCCTGGGACGAAGGAAGCATGGGGTGCTGCTGGTGAGTCAGGACTCTGGGGTGGTTTCTTTGGTTTGGCAGAATTTTCAAGGAAACGCTTATTTAGATGAGGAAGGCTGGCCAAGGGCTCTGTGAATCAGACAGGAGGTTATGAAATGAATGTGATGGTGTGAAGGATGTTCCTTCCAGAATGGCGCCCAAGCCCTACAAAAGGGCAAGTGCCTATTCCAAAATATGTACCTTTCTTATATGGAATTTAAAAAGCCCACAAATTCCTGAAATAGTTAAAGGACTTCTTCCACTCTTAATTATAGACCCAGCCCAAACAGTGGAACTAAAAGGAAAAAAGGTCACAGTAGAAAAGCTCGATTAGCAATAAGACTGGGTTGTTTTCTTTTGTATTTTCTCACCCATCCACGTCCTTTTCTGGTTTCAAGGCATTGAGGACTTTGTGGCTAAAGGAGCTCTCGGAGATCTGAAGGGCAAGGCCGTGTACTCTGGCGTCTTCATTAATCTTCAAGATTTCATCTATGATCTACAGAGGCGAAAAAACAAACCCCAAAATCAATACTATAAAATAAGACCCAATAAAAACAGTTTCATATAAAAAAAAAATAGATTCATAAAAATGCCTCGTTTCTTTTTCACTCCTTGTTGAAGGTGCTGTAAAGCAGAATGAAGAAAGTCTAATTTCTCTTTTCACCGTGTTTATAAGTTTTCAAAAGCGGCATGGCTGAATTTTAGGGACTTCTTTGTCTTTCTTACTGTCCCACTCCCTGCCACAACAGAACAAAACCAAACCAAACCAGACTCTGAGATACGCAGAGACAATTCCACGACTGTACTGGAGTGCAACACATTGCCAGCTTTCAGGGAGACCACGGGGCACAAGTCTCGGGCGTTCCAACCCGGCCCAGACAAGCCTATGTTTCAAACACAACGTGTTCACCAAAGTCTTCCCAACTGCCGCCCTCTAGAAGCCATCACTCGGGCCCTCAGGTCCCCTGGGCCTGAATGGACCCAGACAGCATTTCCAAAGGCTTGTGGTTGATAAATTCAAAGCACAGATATCTCCTTTTTATAGGAAATGCTAAAATAACTCACTATTTCTGAAAAAGACCGAAGTACAGCTTGGGAAGGTGATGTAAAAATGTAAAAGCTAACGAAGGCCTGGGTGTGTCCTTCCGTAAGAAATGCTCTGTCCTGTCTGTCTAGCTCTAATTCATGCCAGGAGATAACACATGGATTCATTTTACTTCACAATATTATTTGTTCCTAAGTAAAAGAGACACCAGCCCACGCATATGGGTCTCACTGTGAGCAGTGTTGCCTTCACCACCTGTTTCACCGTCTAGCAAAAAAATCACGGTGGTATTTCCACCTGGTGAGAAAGGAAAATGCTGTGATACACAAAAATCAAGAAAGGAAATTTTGTTCCATTCATTCACCAGGCTTTCATTCATTCAACAGACATTGCATGTTTTAAGTCCCTACTCTGTGCCAGTTCTGAGACAGGAAATACAGTTGTGAATAAAATGCCTGCCCTCCTGTAGTTTAGATTCTAGAGGGGAAGACAAGAGGGAAGAGGAAAAGTAATAATAATAATAGTAGTAGTATAATCTCTGGGTATGGCAAACGCTGGTAAAGAAAATGAAAGCAGACTAAGCTAGGTAAAGGGCTAACGGAGTAATGGTGGGTCAAGAGCCCAGAATGAAGTGAGGGGTCTGCTGTCACCTGTACTTGGGCTGTGGGAGATGCAACCACAAAATCTTAATAAATTAAGATCCTTCCTCTTTTCCAACAGAACAGTAACACCGCCATACAAATTTAGATTTACCAGAATGTCAAAGAAAAATAGGAAAGAGATGACTGTCAGAAAATAAGTCCGGGAATAAAAAAGTGAAGGCCTAGCAATACCGATGCAAACAACCCAAATGCAGACAACGGGTGTCCTTCTGCAAAGGGACAACAAATTTCTCGGCATTTGTTAATGCTGGTACATCAGGGGGTCAATATTTATCATATATCATAAAGGCAAGTGTGGCAGAAATGGTTTGCCCAGATATGGTTTCCCTTCTTCCTTAGTAATAAACTTTGGTTTTTAGGTGCCATAATGAATGGTTTAAGGCCACCTGGTGGAAAGACTGTATTTCCCAGCCTTCTTTGCTTCGTGGCGGAGCAATGAGGTTCAGGCCAATGACAGGGACGCATAACTGTGACTTTCAGGAACTGTTCCTGAAGGGAAGAGACTGGGAACCTGTCTTTTTTCCTTGTCCGGAATGCCTTTTACTTGCTGGTGACAAGAAGTCATTGAACTGAGCCCCATGATCTGGGAAAACAAGGAAGGTTAAAAAATCCTCCCCACTCTCTTGTGTACTGCAAAGAACCAGATCCAGGCCCTAAAAATGCCCATTCATTGTCTCATAAAAGATCAGGTGAACTACTTGCCTCCGCATCTGAGCAAAACGCAAACAAAATGTAAGTTTCCTTCCTTCCCCCAGGTTGCTAAACTTTGACCCACCCCTCACTTGGTTAGCAGACAACCTCTCCTGAGACGAATCTGGCCACAGGGTAAAACATTCTCTGACCTACTGTCCCATCAAGGTCCCCTCTCATCCCACTTTCTCACACCGGGTTCTCTGTAGCCTTCTCTACCCCGCTGTGTAAAAGAAAAACCCTTTTGGGGCACCTGAGTGGCTCAGTCGTTAAGCATCTGCCTTCGGCTTAGGTCATGATCCCAAGGTCCTGGGATAGAGCCCCACATCGGGCTCCCTGCTCAGTGGGAAGCCTGCTTCTCCCTCTCCCACTCCCCCTGCTTGTGTTCCCTTTCTCACTGTCTCTCTCTTCTGTCAAATAAATAAAATCTTAAAAAAAAAAAAAAAAAAGAAAAACCCTTTTGCCTACCTCTCAAAGGATTACAGATCTTAGATCTTACCATCAGAGTATACCCCCTATTGCAATACTCCTTTTGAATCATGTCTCTCCTTACTAAGTCTGGATTTATTTGGCACTGGCTAGAATATGGATGTGATATACAGGGTTGAATCTGCCATCTTGGATATGAGATAGCACAACAGACGATAGGACAGGAAGACTGAAGGAACCCAAGCTTCTGGTGCCTTTGTGATACCACCATACCAGCCTGCTTCCAAACTTACTGACCTAAGAGAAAAATAAACTTGTCTTATTTCCTCTTCTGTTATTCAAAGTTTTCCATCACTGGCAGTCAAATAAATCCTCACTGCCACAGCCCGTCTGAAGAAAAGCTAGCCACAGGACCAAACGCTAGCACGGCCCGGGGTCTGGTTTCCTCACCACTACTTGTGGGCGTGGCTGCTTCTCCCAAGCTTGACACGATACCTGCAAAGGCTATTATTCCCAGAACATTTGCCTGCAAAGGACGTTGAAGATGATCTCATTCTATTCCTTTATTTTATTTGTTGGAGGCCACGGCACGGTTGGAGTCGTGGATCAAACCAGGCACTGACTTGTGTCTCCTTTAAAGTCCAGACGACTTGATAAGGGGTTAAGGACAGGAAAGTTGAGTAACACTGAGAAAGGGTCTATGCTCTGTGTCGTGAGCTTGCCTATGTGACTTCCCACACGTTCTCCCTACAGAAGGGAACAATGTGGTCAGGGTCATAAATTCTTAGTTGGTCCTTGTTGTTCCTGTACTTCCCATAACCCACTCCCTGGTTGATTGTAACTTCTTGTATCAATAGTAGCTAACGGCATTAGCCATGATTACGTGGCATCACGAGATTTGTAGTAAGAACTTGCGGTTATCTGACTAGATACTGATGTATTACTCCTTCTATTGTGGTCTGCCTTATAAATGCTTGTAAGATGTGGAATAAAATCAGCACTGCTGGACATCCTCCCAGTGCTCCTCCTGCCCCCATCTCTCTGCTTCTCCAGTTCTTTTCTTCACCCTCTTACCCTCACGTTCCTGGTCGATTTGTCGCGCAGCCGTGACATTTATTGATCAGGGAACTGTGACACTGAGAAGCTGAAGGAATGGCCAAGGTCAAACAACTGGTCAGGAAAGAGCAAATCCAGAACTAGCCCTCCAGACCCCGGCAGCCAGACAATCGCCACTGGATGCTACTGCTGCCGCCGCCAAAAAGCACAACCCAAGTCACTAAGCCCAGCTCCGTCCTTCAACAGAAACATGTACTGAGGGACAAACAGATCAAGGAGCATTTCCACTAGAAGGAGAAGTGGCCTCTTCCCTCTAAGAACTCAGTCACAAGCAAAGACTGAACTTTTCCAACGACAACTAAGAGATGTTAACAGGTATATGATGTCTAAAGGGAGAAGCACCCTGTGTTCAAGTGCCCGTGGTACTTACCTCGGCCTCGCTGCTATCTGGAGGAAGGCAAATGTGAGTGATGTTCAGACCAGCCTGTGAAAGGAACACAACGTTATTCTGTCGCCGTGAGAGAATGAAGCGTCAAACACATAGGACGAATTTGTAGAATTCAATAATCCTCACCTCTTCCGCCAAATTCTGGTTTATTTCCTGCATCAAGTTATCATCACCTGCCTAAGGAGATGGGAGCAAGAAGGAGAATGTAACAGCAACAAAAATATCTTGAAAAAGCACAAAACGTAATACAGAGATGAATTTTATGATGATAAATTATCCAGTTTATTAGAAAGAGAAGGAAATACAGGCTCTAATTATTCACAGAAGGAGACTAAGAGCTGGTATTTATTCACATGTCAGTATCTCAGCTTTCACATTATGTTACTTTAAAAAAAGTGAGAGCCCTCCTAAGGCTCGAGTGGCCACCCAGCCGGCACCCCTCTCTAAACGAGGACACCTGAGACAGGGCTCTAGGTGGCCTGCCCGGAGCTGGAAGCTGTCAGTAAGTAGAATCCTGGGAACTCCAGGCTCAGGCCACTCTTCTTTCTACCCTTCTCGCTTGCCTGTCTTTGCAGAGGGTATGGAGACAACCCCCAAGAATGCGAGTGACCTGAGCACGGCTCCAGTCTCGAAAATCACAGTGCCGCTGGGACACCAGGCCGCTCTCCTGACACCTTCCCTGTGGCCCACCTGCTGTGCTGTGTGAGCTTCCAGGTGTGGCTCCCCTCCTGACTGTCCTCTCACCCCAGGGGGGCGCCAATAAGGAGGGCGAACGGCACCAACTACTGTTGGGAACAAAGGGGCCGCAGCCATGAGATGGGACAGGAAATGCAAGTCCTTCTGACACGTATTGATGTCTGGCCCTTAGCACCTATGGCAGGCTTTAGCAGGTTTCGCAGTAGCTCACTAAGTACCATGCCTCCCCACACACCTGCCTTCCACAGAAGCAAAGGGGGGAACTTTGCCCCTTCTCACGTTCAAGTCACATCTGATAGGCATCTCTGAGCACATATGGACACAGTATGTCCATATAACCGCACGGAGGTGGGTGCCTACCTCCTCACTTCTCAAAGCTACTCACACCCAGGGGAGAAAGACTCATAAAAGACCCACCCAGGCAGGGAGGGAACTAACCAGTAACCTGGCAGGAGCAAAATGACCAAAGGAAGAGGGACCCGACAGTATTTCCATCTCTGCCCTCTCCTCCCTGTTAAGACCGCTTCTGTGACAAGAGATACCCTGGTCTTCCGTACATGATTCTCTTCTTCATTGAAAAGCATCCTCAAAGAACAGCACCTTACCTGAATAATAGCAAGCACCGGCTTAAAGGTAGGATTTTTTTCTTGCAATAAACTCAGAACCTCTTTTGAATTCCGAATGACTTCTCTGCATTGAGAAAGAAAAGACAACCCACAGTCATGTCTTTGTTAATGACTAGAAAGGACCGATTCAACACATTTTCCTAGAAAGCTCGTTACTGTAAGTGAAAATAGACGACAGAAGGACGCGCTTCAAGAGTGGGAGGTGTGGTGACGAGGGGCGGGATAAGCATCCTGAAGTACAACACAGCGTAAACTGTGACCATCTGATTTTAAAAATAAGCAGAGGCATGCAAACGAGCTGTTAACAATTATTTTCCTGGGGTGAATTCTCCTGTATTTTTCAAGTTGACTATAATGCAAACATTTTACTTCTTTTTAAATAATCCCCTTCCTCCACCCACATCCGTCCCTAGGGGTTCCTATGGGGACTGCAAACATTGGTGCCAGGAGGGTAGCAGAGACTGGGGAGGGGGCTTGCTGTCAGACAAATCCCAGGGCCCGGTATTCAAAGGAATGTGAAGGGAGTGGGAGGGGAAGAAAACAGAGGGGAAGGGAGGGTCAGGCTGGGGAGTAGGGATAGAAAAGGGAAGTGGGGGAAGGGACGGGGGATGGGAACAGAAACGCTAGGGCTGCATCAGAATTGGATATGCTCCCCAGGCCTCTCAGGGAGAGAGCCTGTCACTCCTCAGAACTCCCCACCACCCAAATCTGCATTTGGACTTTCCTAAAAGCCCCAGCTGATGCCACTGCCACCTTGGTAACACTGGGAGGAGGCAAGGAGCATCAGCCCAGGAAGGGCAGACCCAGCTGATGTACGAGCCACAGGCTCCTCCTGCGGACTTCTGGGCTGAGCGATTTCAGACTCCTTCACTCCCATCGCTGTGACATGGGCCTCCCGTGCATATGAAGTTGGCTTTTCTTCTCTCAGGATAATAGACAAAAGGATCAGCCAAGGCAGTACCTAGGCCCCATGTTAAGACCGTCTTTAAATTTTGTCTTCTAGGGGCGCCTGAGTGGCTCAGTGGGTTAAGCCTCTGCTTTCGGCTCAGGTCATGATCTCAGGGTCCTGGGATCCAGGCCCGCATCGGGCTCTCTGCTCAGCGGGAAGCCTGCTTCCTCCTCTCTCTCGGCCTGCCTCTCTGCCTACTTGTGATCTCTCTCTCTGTCAAATAAATAAATAAAATCTTAAAAAAAATTTTTTTTTGTCTTCTATCTCTGATAAGGTCTTAGAGGCACCAAACAGCTTCCAGAAACTACAAGGTGAATTTCCAGGCAGAGAGCATCAGTTCAGTAACCGGCTGAGGTTTTGGAAAAAGGCACTGCTCAGCTTCGCCGGGTTTTCAAAGATGCTGATGAGTGTCCTGGGGGAGGCGCTCTTGAGCAGGTAGATGGAAAGAGAGCTGTGCTCAGGAGATACCCAAAGGCTCCAAAACTCCACCAGGAGGAGCCGTCCCACCTGACACTGGGCTACCAGAGACAGAACAGGGAGGCATGCACACATACATGACCTGCAAAGATTTTCGTGTCTTGTTCCTGAACACCTAGACGAAGCAACTTAATTCTGCAAGAAATGACTGTATTATTGCGTTGGATACACGAGACTACGTGCAAGTTTACAAGCTGCCTTATAAGTGAGCACTAAAGTCGCCTGTCCAATAATGTGTGGCTGAGGGCCTCAAGCTATGCAGTTTCTCTGTCTTTCATGACTGCTAATTTGGGCCGAGGGGGTCCTTATTTCTGCCTGGTTCCCTAAAAGTCACTGGAACATAGGTCCCCAGTGGTTTTTGGCAATATGCACAAACAGCACTGGGGGAGCCTGGTAAGAAGCAAACTTTCTGTGCCTCACTCCAGAAAGTCGGGAGTTGGCAGGGCTGGGTGTGGCCCAGGAACGTGCATTTCCAACAAGGAGCCACGGAGCTCCGAGGTGTGGGTAAAGGGGACTAGCCAAGCACCAGGATGTGGGCCTCCCATGGACCTACACCATCAGTTTACTGAGTCTCAGACCAACTCCAAGAGCCTCATCTGCGAAAAAGGGTGTCCTGTGGCTACCCTAGAACACTAAAAATTACTCGTTTGACAGCAACAGTTTTCCCAAAAACTCTTCATAACCTTGACCACCCCTCAATGAAGTGAAGGGACCAAACACTTCCATAAAACACAAACCTGTCACCAACGAAGCTAACAGAGCTAATTCTCCCCATTCTTTGGAGTTACTCGTGATTCCTACAGGGAAAAGCAAAGTTACCATGAAAGCAGTCACCAGGCTCAATTGATCTAAAAAGTAGGATAAATGTTTCTAATCAGATTTTCTCACTCCTGGGAAAAAAGCAGCCTTGTCAATTTCCTGCTAGAAGGAATGCCTGCCTGACTCTCCCACCAGGCCACCAGGCCGCCAAATGTAACCAAAATTCAGAACTTCATTACTGAAGAACATTGTCGAATTTACAATAATGTAACTAGTAGCTTAAAGTATCAACCACTGGAAAAGACTTCAATTACCTCCATTTTGACCTTTAACTTTCTAATTGAGGAAATTCTTCCTTCCGGCTTATCTCTTACCTCAGGCAAAAGACTTGGAAGGCAAAGCGTCCCTAGACGGGGGTGGGGGTGGGGGGGACATGACGCAGACTACCCCCTCAAGCAGTAAGGGCAGCCCTGAGCCAGCAAGACCCTACCCAGGATGGACCCCAAGACAATGACCCGAGCTCTACTGCCCACCCTGACTGTGCCCACCAACCTCAGTCCCACATTTTCCTTATATAAACCTGGAAGTATCCTCAGCACTTGGGAGACTGTCTTTGAGAGGTTAGTCCGCTATCTTCCTGGTGTTGGCCTCACTGAAATAAATTTCCTTCTTGTCTCACTCCTTGTCTCTCTGCCTCTGGATTTTGTCAGTGGTTAAAGAGCTGAACCTGCTGCTTGGGACCTTCAGACATAGGTGCTCTTGCACATCAGCAGCTGAGTTACATACCACTGACTCCATGGACAGGCTGGTCTCCCTCTGGCTGGGAAATAATGTGTTCACTGGGCAGAAGAAGGCTGTTGGAATAATGACCTCATTTCTCAGTCTCCCTTGCAGCTAACTGAGGCCACACGAGAGACTCAGAGGCAGCCGTAAGGTTATTTAAAACTACGGACTTAAGTACATCCCTGAGCGCAGAGCCACTTTATTTCAAAGGGAAAAGAGGTACCAGTGTGCACAGAGCACCGAAATTTCCAAAACAGCGTCTTCCAAAGACTGCCATCAGTATTCCGAGAAAGAGCGCAGGCTGAAAGCACCAGCCAGAGCAGCTTAATAAATCGACAGCCCTGGTAATTTAGTGGATACATTCAGTACAATAGTAACAGTAGTACTGACACAACTGATGTCGGCTTGGATGACTGGGCACTTCCTATGAACACTTCCAAGCATTTTCCTCTTTAATCGAATTCGGAGCATGAGCTACACCTGGCATCCGGCTAGAGAGCTCAGGTCCCTGTTTCCCCTGTAGCTCAATGGGCTCATGACACTAACCGCTGGCCAACGAGGCTGTGAGCTGTAGCCAAAAGGATGGAAGGAACGTGCAGCGAAAAGAAAGATACAGGAGCACCCCGGGCCCCTCTCCCTCTTGCTGCCTTTTACCCAGAGTTGGAGCAGGAAGCAAAGATCACAGGGTCATCATCCCACCTTCCCTGTCTGCCTCCCTCTGGACAGTAACGTCCACAACACTTGGGGGTATTTTTATTAAAGCAGCCTCGCTCGTTTCCTATTTATGCATAGGCCTGAGCTGGGAGCTTTAATCTTATTTGCTGTTTCACCCAATTTCAGATAGAAAAGGAAAGAGAGACCACTGTTTTACAAACCACTAAGGAAGAAAACCAGCTGGCAGTTAAACTATGGCACCATCTTTTCTTCACAGATTGTGGATTCTGTGAGTACTGAATGTAGATATTTTTTGTTTGCCATAAACCACTCATATGAGCATAAAAAGTAAAACTACCAAACTGAAATAGTCCTAAAACTTCTTCACATTCAGGATAGGACTCTTCTGAGTGTCTTTTTTTTTTTTTTTTTTTAAAGAACATTTAATTTAAGTGATCTCCATACCCAATGTGGGGCTTGAACTCATGACCCCGAGATCAAGAGTCACATGCTCCTGGGACAAAGCCAGCCAGGTACCCCCTGAGTGACTTCTTTGATCTAAGTGTCCTGATGGCAGTTTCTCTCCCTTCCCCAAAAATATCACCCTTGTGCCATCAAGTGTGTTAGTGATGTGTCATTTTTTGAAAAACTGTATCACTTCTATCCCTGTGGTTTTCCTTACATTCCTGACACCCATTCTGTAAGTTTTAATATTAGCATTTTCTCAATTCTACCAGATATCAATGGACAGATGTCAGACAACATTTCATTTCCTAAAACAGGCCTTCCATGACTTGTTAATGGAACTATTGGGGGTTATTTGGAGGAAATGAGAGGTCATTATGCTTTTGAGGCAGCTTACTCATTCACTTTTCTGGTATATGTCCATGAAAAAAAAAAAAAAAACTAACATACACGGATTTGCGGATGTCTATCCTAGGTGACTTCTAGCTAGGCCCACCTCCCCTCCTTCCTCTAAGCCCTGGGGGAATCTCTCCGAGGACAGTTTTGTCAGATGACACACATAAGTCAATTAAGTTACGATATGCACAGCCCAGGTTCCCATGGGTACTGGCGATGACAACAGGAGATGACTGTTCACATGGCCAACAGTAATTGTCAGACACAATTGATTAAAAGACTAGTTTTGGAGATATTAAAAAATATGCCTCTTAGAATCAGCAGAGTATAGTGATGTCCATAACAACTTTTGAAGCTGGTGATGATGGTTCCCCTTTCATATATGAACAGAGATCAAACAGCTTGCCCCAATTCTCATATCTAGTAAGTACTGGAGTCATATTGCAAAGCAAGGCACCTAGCCCTTAACCATAATCCTATGAAGCAGCAAATCACTGTACAAACCTTCCCTTTGTAGTTCAGAACACGAGTACAGGATTAAGAATAGATTTTGCACTTTTAAATGGTTAGAAACATCAAAAGAGTAATATTTTGTAGCATGTGAATATTATAGGAAATTCAAATGTCAGTATCCATAAAGAAAATTGGCTTTTGTCAGTAGAACACTATGAAAATGTTTTTTTTTTTTTTCTCACATAAAAGCGCCTACAAAATAGTTTCTGTTTTGCCTATTGGCCTGGAAAACCTAAACTATTTACTGTCTAGTCCTTTGCAGAACTGCTAACACCTGGCTTAGAATGCTCAAAAAATAACTTATAAACAATAGCCAATATTTGTGGAGGCCCTGCTATGACAGTTCCTGGATTATGCATTTTATATATGTTCTCTCTTTCCATAACCCTTTGAGGTCAACTACCCCCCCCCACCTCCCCACTCCGCGCAGGAATTGAGATCACCCTTCCCTCCTCAGTGTCAGCAGGAGCCTGACCCAGGCCCCCACTGACCATCCTGCTCATCTCTAAATCAGGTAGTGAAAAGAACATTCATGAATACAATCCATAAATGAACCCGTGTTGAGTGATGCATTCACCCATCATGTCACAAGTGTCCACCCTACACATGGCCCTCTTTCCAGGAGGAAGGATCCAGCAGTGAACAAGAGACAAGGGCCCTGGCCCCACAGAGCTTTCACTCCAGGGAGGTGGGGGGACACAGGCAATAAATGCACAGGAAAGTTCCGGGTAGCTCTAAGCTACCCAGAAAATAAGAGGGTGAGGGGGTGGTGGTTTCTGCCTCCCATACCGCCTCCCAACCCACTAAGGCGAGCTCGGCTGTATCCTGGTGAAATTCTCATGACCGAAAAGGCATAAAGGAGCTCCTGCTTTCTGGAGGAAGGCAGGATAAACTAAGCAGAAGGCTCCTTAGAGTCACCGGCCACATCATAAAAGGCTTTGGAAAAAGAGGAGGTAAAGGCAATTACTTTTACAAAGAGGGACGGAAGGAAAAGGAAGAGGATGTGAATGGATGGAGAACAGCCTACTCAGGGTCATGGCCACCCGGAACCGGGGGCAGGCAAGGGCTTTCCCGGCACCTCCAGGCTTGCCCTGAGTGCTTCACTCCACAGGTTTAGTTCCCCGGCGAACCCACTCCTCCAGGAAGGGCCATTCAACCTCTTCCTGCCCTCTCTCCCAGGCAGGGGTGAGGAGAGGGTACAGGCGGGGGAGGAGAGGCGCGAGTGGCATCTCCGGTGGGGGGGGGGGGGGGGTTGGGGAAAAGGCTGGGCTCAGGACTCCCACAGTTCACTTCTGGGTCGGGCGAGAACTTTCCATTCGCAGCGGCGCTGGGGACCCCTGGCCCCGCCCATGCAGCGATGGGGGCAGGCGTGGGCCCGACTCCTCGCCCGCATTCGGCCTGTGGTCAGGTGGGCCCGGCTGCACGTTAACGCGCCCAGAAGATGATTATGTAACCGAAGCAAGCAGGCATTCCCACCCGCAGGAGGCTGCGGCGACGCGGGACGCGGGGGACCGCGCAGGTAGGCGCGGGCGCCGGGCCTAGGGCTCCTCTCCCCGGCCCGCGCCGGCATCTCGTGCCCGCCCCAGCCACCGCCCCTGCTCCGCCCCGCTCCCGCGCTCCGCCCCCTTCCCGCCCGCCCTGCCGCGCCGCGCCGCGCCGCGCCCCGCGCCGTTGCATCAGAGCCGGCCGGGGTGGCGCACGTGGAGCGGGCCGCGCGGGCCGGGGGTGCCGCACCCGCCCCGGATGCCCGCGCCCACGCGATCCCCGCCCTGGGCCAGTCCCGGGGCCCGCACGCGCTCCCGCCCGGCGAGGCCCGCCCTCCCCGCCCCCCACCGCCGCCGGGCGCCCCGAACAAGTTAGCACCAAGCACTCCCGAGCCGGAGCCCCGCGAAGCACCCGCGGGCCCCCCCCCAACCCAGGACCCCGCCGAGACCGGAGCGCCCCGGACGCCCCACCTCCTGCGTCCGCGGCCCCCGGAGCGGCAGCGAGCCCCGGACACTCACCTGACGAGCGAGTGCCGGGCCGGGGGCGCCTGGCTGCCCTGGCCGCGGCTGCTCCCGACCTGGGCGTCCCGCAGCCGCCGCTGCCCAAGCAGGCCCTCCCCGCCGCCACAGCCGCCGCCGCCGCCGCTGCTGCTGGCGCGACAGGGCGCTCGGAGGCGGAGCGGCGGGCCCGGGGGCCGCGGCGGACCGCGAAGCCGGCGCAGGAAGGGCGGCAGGCGCGCGCTCATGGCGCGGGGACGCGGGCGGGCCGGGCGAGGCGGCTGCGGCGGGCTGGGCGGAGACGGGGCTGCGCAGCGCGGGGACGCGGCGGCGTGAGGCTCCTCCGGGGGGCGGCGGGGCGGGCGCCGGGCAGGGAGCCGGCGCGCGGGTAACGGGCCGGTGGCGGGAAGGACCAGGACCTGCCTCCCGAGCCGGCGCGGGGAGCCCCTAGGGGGCACTGCACCTAGAGGCCGTGACGTGGAGAGGGCGGGGGCCTGCGGGGCGCGCGGCCGGTCCTAGTGGCCCCGCCGTCGGAGGCAGGCTTTCCGGCGCTGCATCGCGGCTGGAAATTGGCCGAGAGGTAGCAGGCGGGGGAGGGTGAGGCATCGGGGTGGGCTCCGGTCCAGCCCAGCGACAGTACCTCCTCCCTTTTGCCGAAGATGCTGACGCTGCCCTGCCCAGGTGTGAGTCCGCTTCCTGGAAGGCCCCTTGGCTGAGCCTCCCGGCGCCGATAAGGGCCTTGGATGTTTTAGGCTGCAGGTGGTCTAGCCTTGAAGGATGTGTGGGTCTTGGAGTTCAGAGGCTGATTTGTAGCCTTGGGCGGGTTAATCTCTGTGAACCTCAGCTGCCTTCCCAGTTAAAACGAGATTATCCTGGTTTATAATCTTAGCAGGATTATAAATCCCAAGTAAAGCGGGAATAAAACGAGTCCAAGCTACAAAGAGGGGTTTTCCAGTAGCTGAGCCTTGCTGGAGTGACATTTCCTTTAATTCTAATCAATGTGCAGCTCTCTCTGGAGTCATGATGGGGTTACCTGCTGAGAAACTGACCCTAAATTGAAACCATGTAAACTGAAAACGCATTGAATGCACCTGATTTACTGAACATCACAGATTAGCCTAGCCTAACTTAAATGTGCTCAGAATGCTTACTGTAGCTAGAGTTGGGCAAAACCATCTAACACAGAGTCTGTTTTATAATAGTGTTGAATATCTCGTGTATCTTATTGAATGTTGTGCTAAGAGTGGAAGAAAGAGTGGTTATATGGGTATAGCTTGGTTGTGGGTATGTGGGTTGTTTACCCTTTGACCACGTGGCTGACTGGGGGGCCCCTCTGGCTCCAGACCTGCCTAGAATCAGGAGAGTATACTGCTGTGTATTGATAGCCCAGGGAAAGAGAATAAATCGGTTGCAGTTTGGTTTCTGCTGAATGCTGATTGCTTTCACACCATCGTAAAGGGGAAAATCATAAGTTGAACAGTCGTAAGTCAGAGACTGTCTGTAATGTGTTGAATATTGTACTGACTTTGATTCTGAGGGAAATGGGTCCAGAGAGGTCAGTTGTATCATTGACAGAGCTGGAGATTTGCCTGAGTCAAATGATCATGTTCTTAATCTTTGTTTTTAATCCCATTTATTTATTTGAGAGAGAGAGCAGGAGCAGGGGGAGAGGGAGAGGGAGAAACGGACTCCTGCTGAGCAGCAAGGCGGGGGGGGGGGGGGGGGGGGGGGGGGGGGGGGGCAAGATCAAATGAGCTAGGCAAGGTTAGTGGGGCTAGAGTTGGGCGAGGGAGAGGGGAGTAGAACGGAG